TTAATGATTATTTACAAACATAAGGCATTGCAGAACTTGGCTCTACAACTTCTATTTTCAGCAGAGAAACCCTTATCCTTATTTTAGCATATCAGAAAGTGTCTAAAGTAGGGATCAGAGTCACTATATGCTCAGTAACACAGTTAAGATTCTGCATATTGGCTTCAGATGCTGCAAAACATTTTTTCAGGAAAATCAAACCAACTGTAACTCTCTCTTGTAAAAATTAAATTAACTGTGAAAGTTCAAAATGAACAGGCTGTTTTCAAGGTTAAAAGGTGACATCAACAGAAATGAGCAACTCCCACTGTAATGGTTTTCCAGTGCCTTCCCTTCTGACCAGTGAAGAATCTGAGATTGCAGTTGGTAGTGGCCTCCAATCTTGCTTGGCCTCCTCTGTGCTGTGGTTACTGCCGCTCTCCTTCCACCCGCTTTTTACGAACTAGACCAAGAAAACAAGAAAAGAGCAGTCACTACTGCTTTCTTTAGAGCATAAGGGCTTTTCTCACCGGCACACTCCTGTTGGAGTAATGTGAACAGGAAGGAAGGAGCTTCTAAGAAACACTCAGCAGGATTATCTCCATAAATGCTGTAATTAAAAGGTCTTAGTGCTAAACAAAACAATTGTAGCTAAACTGCACTTTGCCATACCATCAACTAGAGTTTCACCAAGTGTTCATATTGATACTTTTCCTATAGAAAAGGTTTGAGATGATGAAGAAATCACCATTTCCAGTGCCTCCTGCTAATGGCTCCATATTTTTTTAAAAGCAACTGTGTTCCACCTAAGTCAATTCTGGTCTGCATGGCAGTGATCTAGATTATTTAAGCATTAGGCATAAAAAATTAATAACTCTTGCCATTACACAAATGCATTACAATAGGTAAGCAATAATCAATATCCTTTTAGAAAATAATTAGGAGTACTCTTAAGTACTAATATCAGTGAGTGTTGGCAACCAGGAAAACATCAGATTGGACCTTAAATTATCCGTTTAAATTTGCATGCTCTGGTTTCATCAGCTATCTGATAGAAAGTTAATTAACTCTCAATTCTTATTAGATATGTTGATGGTGCCATTTAACAAGGCAGAATGATTAGCTTTGTGTTGTGGGTAGGATGATTTTGACAAGCAGCTCCATGTGAATTTTTACATCACTAGGATGCACTACAGCAGGTCGAGTTGGGCAGCATTTGCTACCCTAATAAAAATGTATTGAGTCTTCTCTGACCTTGCCAGATAAGATTAGTGAGGTTCTCCTGTTGGTGTGTTATATCAATCTATCATGTCCTGTTTCTGATATTGAACTGCTGAGGTACAGAACAAAAAGCAGTAAAACTGGATGAATGAATGATTTCACTACAGAAAGCCAAAGGCTGTTTAGAAAGTCAATAGCAACATATTACTACAAACATCACAGTACTTTACTGTCCAGAGGTTTATTTCATAGTGTTTTCTTGGAAAATAGGCTGCATTTTTCCAAAGCCTGCAGTGTAACATCAGTCATTTGTGTGTCTACTTTCAGTGTTGTTACTTCATTTATTTTATTGAATTATTTTAGGTATTCTGTCCTACTAAATCTTGAACAAAACTATACAAAACAAATACAATACAAAGCAGTAAAATTAATATTAGGTACAGGACATGTCTAATGGTAACTAGTTAAATAATGGAAAAAAAGGTGTTGTTTTTTCTTTCATGGGATGCTTCAAATACCATTCTGGGACACTAATACTTTCAGGACCAATAGTATGTAATTGGAATACCTAGGCTGTGTTAAAAATTAAACTGAAAAAAAAAAGCATTTATAAAAGAAATAGGTCCTAGCTCAAGTTTTACCTTAGTTCTCACAAAGAGAACCCAAGCTGAAGCCAGCAAAGGCATCAAGGTTTGATGTCCTGCTTTGAAATAGAATTTATTAAAACCACAATGTTTTTGCTTGTTTTATTGTTGTTTTTTTTTCCTTCTTACTGTAAACTACTCCTGAATCATCTTCTGATATGTACTGAGTATACAGGGCAGAGCATGTCACACTCAGGTAAACCTTGCAAAGCTTTATTGTTTTTGCCTGTATTTGGTCATGCAGGTAGGAAAATCTCTTTTTGTTCCTCTGGGCAGGATTGGTCTGTCATGGGCAGGACTTTGGTGTTCACTGAACAAACAGAATGGGTTTGGGTTTCTACTTTCTGGCCAGAACAAATGAAAGGGCAGCTGGAAAACCAGGGTGCTTCATGGAAAAGGCTGAAGCAACTCTCCTTTCTGGAAGTGGGAGAAGGAGAACAGTGGCTCCTAATTACAGGAAGAACTTTGTTGTTGTCTACTGTGGAGCTATGCATCACCTCTCACATACATCAGATTGAATATTGAATGAGTTACAATTCAATCTTACATGCAGTCAGGAAGAGTTGTCTAGGAAGGTCAGGGCTTGGCTCACATAAACAAATGATGAGGAGAAGTAATAGCATCTTACCCAAATCATTGTTTTTAGTGATAGCTGCTGCAACCCTGGTTCTTGGGCCTTGCTTTGTGAACTGGTATCCAAACTTCAGAATCTTGGAGTTCTCCTCCAGCATCTTGGCAATCTCCATTTCTACAGCTGTCCCCAGCTGCTGCCTCTGTTGGTGATGTGGTGAAATGAAGAAATGAAAATATTTTTTCATATGAGAGAGAAATAAGTGGTTATATTTCAGTAGTGTGCTGCAAACTACAGAGAATCTCATTCCTGGAGATTTTGCTCCAGGTTTTATATTTGGTTTTGACCTGTTTTCTTTTGACATTACCCACTGTTAGTTTGCATGGGCATGGGACATGACCTGCAGAATGATTGAGCCACAGAGACTGCCTTGACTTTGCCAGAGCCTTCTAGGATAACCCTCTGGGAATCCATACGGAAAGGAAACAAAAGTGGACTCACTCAATGCTCTCTCTTTACCTGGTTGTCAATTTTAATCTCTGTGAGGGATTCATTCTCTTTCAGTGCATCAATCAGTGCCAAGATACCCGTCCCAGTGATGAAGTTAGATTCTACATTCAGACTCTTCAGTGTTTTGTTCACTTTCAACATATCTGCAAATGCCTGAGGGATCAAAAAGAGGGAATACGAGATAATGTCTCAAGAGTTTCAGGGAACAACAGGAAATCTGCAAACCATAGCTAAATACCTACAAAGAAGTAAAACAAATAGGCTTAGAAGGGCATAGAGGTAGATTGGAAGAGACTACACATCTGCTTTGCACAGTCACAGGGAAATTCTGCAAGGGAAAATGAATGCAAGCTAAAGCAGACACAGACCTACTTGAAAATTTCTTTTTCCTCCAACCAGTGTTAAAACTTACAATAGCTACGGGGTCATTGCTTCGAGTAGCTGCAAGGCTGAATGTCTTCACATGCGTGTTGCTTTCCAAAGCTTTTGCAAATTCCTTCAGTGTTGGAATAGGAATATTCTGCATTAAGAAAACAAACCCAGTAATTAGCTAGACACATTGCTAGGCACTGATTTTAATGAGTATCAAACTGGTTAATAGTCTAAGTAAATTAATAGTCTAAACAGTCTAAGCAATGTAAACATCTGCAATGCTTTTAAGAGTATCTCAGAAAGGACAAAGCATCCTCTGCTTATAGTGGCCTTCAGAGGCCTGTGCTAAGATGTCATGTCAGCACTGCCTCTAACTGGGTCAGGCCAACACAAGCACGTGACTGATCTCTGAGCTACTTTCCTATTTTGCTGCTGGTTGTTCAGTCTCTGCCAGCTCCTCCTCTGCTTGCGTGTGTGGGCTAATTGCATTTGGCCATGATGATTATATAGTGCCCAGGAGATCTTGCTTTACAATCTGCTAAAGAAAGGCAGGCAGAGGGAGTCACCCCTTGGGCTATTCTATTAATTGGCATCTAATTCAATATCAGGCACTGATGACCTTGGAGCCTCCACAGCAGTTCCCTCCACACCCCTTTCCTGTGTGTCCTGCTTTTCCTGAACAGTTGAGACAAAATTTGATGATAAAAGGCAAGGGCTTGGGAAACATTTTAATAAACTCTCTTAAGATTACATAAATGAAACCACAGTATCTACCTTTATGTTATTGAGATTAATTTCTGTGAGACTAGGATCATTTGCTTTTATCCTCTGTAAACTTGCTTCCACGTTGGTCGGATTAGGTGGCTCCTCAAAGATGGGCTTGACCTTTTCGCCTTTCACCACGTCTGCAACACAAGATGTCATGAGATGTTGATGTGAGGAACAGGCATCATCATTACATCTGGCTTTTCAATTCCCATTTAGGTTTGTACTGTAGCATTCAAGAACAGTTTCATATAAACCAGGAGACTTGGAAACAGGAGAATTAGCCTCGTTGTCCCTTCCATGCCCTTGTCACCTTCTGTGCACCCAGAAGCGTGTCACTGGAGGCTGTGCTCACAGTGGCTGGGCAGTATCCTCACAGGCAAATTCCTCTGTTCTGAACAGAAGTCCCAGTACAATTAATTTGAGCCAAAGCAGCTTTAAAGACTATTGTCTAGGATGTAACATAGGCAAGAGCCACTTTGTCTAACACCTGTAAAGGAAGATGTGCTCATTACTTGCCTATTACGTTAGTGTGAAGATGTCACTGCACCTATTTATAGACTCTGCTAATTTAAACATGATCAGGAGGCCCCTTAGTTTCCTTCTCTAGGCTGATGCTATCTGCCTTACTATAAATTCAATTAGGTCTTATAAAATTGCAACATCTGCACTTTCTAAAAAATAAAGCTATCAAACCATGAAAAGCAAGTCTGTCTGCCAGCACCAATATTTATGCAGTCTCTGAGTATTAGTGTTCCAAAGAGAGTTTTTAATGTTGGCAGCTATGAGCTATAAATATTCTTGGAGATGCATAAAAATCATAGCTTAAAACACAATTAGTGCTTCTAATTCCCACGCATATAGTTGTGGAGATTAATTTATATGTCCTGGCCACCCAAGCCACTAGAGACAAGAAAGGAATGCTACTGGCCACAAATATGTTTAAACCCTTTTATTTCATGTTGCAGGCAGTGAGTTTCTCTGAAGGCTTGTGCTCAGGTCTCAATGTGCTGTTCATTTATGTTCAATGCAATGGGTAAAGTTCATGACACATCATGGGCAAAAAGGAAAATATTATTTAGAAATCATACTCCTAGTAGAGATGAAATCATACACAAACCTTCAGCTGGTGTGCACTCTGCTCCCTTTTACCCTGAACTGTTTAACTAATTTCCTGAGAGACCTCATATACACCTGAATAGCACTCCAGCCTTCCTAGAAGGTAGGAAATTGAAAACTACTGGTAAAATGCATCTAGATAATTCATCCTATCTAAGGATGGAAAGTAAATAAAAAACAGCAAAGCATTTTTTGCACTCCTGGCAACACTGACAAACTGGGACTTACACCCTGTCTTCAGGTTAGGCATCACGAAATACTCAGTCTAGAGTTAGAAATATTTTTCACTTTCTACTTGTTTTATCTTGTTTCTTTAATAATGGTGCTGTTTTTTCACATTGGTGGACAACTTTTGAGATGTTTCTCTCTTTGACTGAAGCATTTTACTTGGCTAAGGAAAGGTATTGCTTTTGGACCAAATAATAAAGCAATATGACCATGATTTTCTGGGTCTTAAGTCTGTGATTGGAGCATAGTTGAGCTGATTCACATAGCTGAAATTTTGACTTGGTACAACAAACATATCTGAAATCTGTGTGGATTAGTAGCACATGCAGTTGCCTGTTATGAGATAGATGGCAGCTTGAACAGAGCCCCACTGAAGAGGCTTGCAGAACAGTCTTAATCCTGAGAAAAATGAAGTGACAGTGTTCTATTTTCCCACCTTCCCTTTAGTAAAGAGGGATGGAAGTTAAAGTCCTTGGTACAGAGAGCTGCTGTTCTCATGACTTCACAAGAACAAAACACTTTTTGAGTACTACCTGCCTAGAAAGAAGCATTCCACAATTTTGTCTTTAGAACCAAAATTTAGCCCAGGTGAATACCCCAGAGCTTGGAGGTGGTGACCTCTGGATCAAAGTTTGGCAGCTCTGAAGAAAAACTTGGAATTCAGGTGTACCCAGTTCTCCCTGCATCCAGCCTCCTGTCAGTTCCTGAGCTAAGATCTGATTCACCAAAGGTCTCTCTGTTTAGCGCAGACACTTCTGGATTTGTTTATAGTAACTACAGCTGCTTCTGCTGTGGAATTTCCTGAACAATTACACTCCCCATGTACGTAAGGAGCCATGTAACAGACAATGTTTAAACACGCACCACAGGACCGAGGTGGAGGTGGCAGAGCAGAGAGAACAGCTGGGGCAGGAACACATCCATGCAGTCTTTGCCTCCCTGTGAGTGCAGCTTGACGTGACTGCTTGGAGATGTGAACTCTGCCACGGATTGTGTTACCTTGTGACACCTTCAAGCCCCATGGTTGTGAGCTGGGGTGAGACAGCCACCTCTTGGCTACAGTTCACTGTTTTCTGCCTGCTGCCTAAACTGTAGTGCAATTAAAATACATATTTCTTGGGTTCTTAAATACTCCTACCCTTTCAATCACCTCTGCAGAGCCAGACAGGAAAACAAAGCTCCTTAGGAATGATTTATTTGCATAGTGCTATTGCCATAGATAATGAATTTTAAGATTGAATTTACTATAAAGAACTCCTACTCATGATTAATAGTCAAGGTAAGGCCCAGTTAGAGCAATACACCCAGCTTATAGGTGTACAAGTTCCTTAAGATGACACATAGCAAGCAGATTTCTGTTTTGGACTTACTTCTCACAGTTCCTTTTCCATCTTTACTGCGGGCTCCTTCATCAAATTTTGGGTTGTTGACCATGTTGTGCACTCCAAGGACAGCTAAAGTGTATAAACAGGTTACAATGTTAATGACAGGAACAACGACTAGAAAAATAGCTGCTACAAATTCTAGTCTAGTTCCGCAAACAAAACCCCTTTATAAAATGCTATTTCTGAGCTTGCTCAGAGGGAGAGTTTTTAGGGTCTAAATATTGGAGATACAGACATTTTTCAAGTAAGTTTTTGAACTGAATCAATGTAATATGCATATCCCAGATATGCCAGCTGGAAGAAACTGCTGTGGGTCACCTTGTCCAGCTTCACTCTCCAGCAGGAGTGTTGCCAGCATTAACCAGGTCAGCCATGGCTTTGTCCAGCTGGATTCTGGAAATATCCAGTGAGGGAAGTCTCACAATCTCTTTGGGGAACCTGCCCCAGTGCTGTGCTCCTAATGATATTTTTTTACCCTAATACACAACATGAACCTCTTATTGCTCCTTGTTGTGTTGCTTGGCATATTAGACAAGAATTTAACTATGTGTGGTTATGTTAATAAATTTGCATTCTCACTGGAGTTCCTTGTAGAAGCATGTGAATGCTAATGTGCTTGGAAAGAAAAAATGTATTACACATTTCACTTGGAGATAAGATTAATGCATCCAGAAACGTGTAGTGTAGCCAGGAAGTATAGAAGATAGTCTGTACATCCTTTAATAGGGGAATATAGTAGCTAAAGAGTTTTGAGTTTAACATTGATCGAACCCAGATTCAGATTAATCTAATATGTAGAAATATTATATTTAGATTTTCCTAATAAGAAACAACAATATAATTTATAGAGTAGAGACCCAAAAAGATAGACCATGGACCTCAGAAAGCCCAGAGAAAGGACAGAGCTGGGTGGAAAAGGCAGGCCATGTCAGTGGTTCCATAGAGAGGTCTCAACATAGTCTTAGGATGATCCATTAACATTTATCTTACCAGCCTTGGCTGGTTTACTTCTTTCCAAATTAGTAATTCAAGTTATGATCTTTTAGTAGCATAAGCATATGAGATATCCATGATAGAAACTGCTCAAAAATCACAGGCAGCTCAAGAGCGACAGATTGTCCTTTGTTTTACTGTAGGTTCACATGTTATCTATGTGAGTGGATACGCTTTAACATTATTTCCTTTGTGCACACTCTAGAACATGAGTTTATACTCTAAAGGAAAATAATTAAAAGTGGTGAAGACAGCCAGGTTCAACCAATGGGCTACCAATTTTCTGATTCAAGTGGTTGGATTCCAAGTTTCCTCAAGGCTGCAGGATCCATTGCGTGCTCTAAGCAGTCTGTCCTGCCATTTGGGATTTCAGAGTGAAGAGGGGGTAGCAATAGTGTGCTACAAACAACACAGCTGCAGCAAGATCAGTGGTCTCTGCTACAGGCTCTGCAAACAACACAGCCTGCATCTACCCCTCCTTCCCCCAAATCACATTAGCTGGTTCATCTTCTCCCCTTGCTGGCCACATCACTTTTAAGTAGATGAGAGAAGTCTACAATGCAGCAGCGATTGAGTCATTCTTGAAGTCCTCATGTGTGGCCCACAGGTTGGCCACCTGTCTGTAGAATGAAACAGCAGGTACTTGAGAGATGATCATGAGACACTCCTGGTGGCAGGTCCAGGCAGATAAGAACTGGATTTGTAGGGGGATCATACTTATATATTCTCTAACCTGCAAGGTCATAGAGCTCTGTATCTGAAGCACTGGCCAGGGCTTCTTCTAGTTCTGGATCCAGGGTCACTTTCTCTTCTGTACGGGTTTCTATGGGCTTTTCTTTAGGGATAAATATTTTTCCTAAGAGGAAAAAAAAAAAGCCAGAGTGAGTAATAATTTATTGGAACAACTCCTCTGCCTCCTGGCAGTGGGGAGGTAGGTCCTGCTTGGAAATATATCGAGTGCACATTTTTCTCTTTCTTTCTTGATGCTGTACTCCACACCAGGATTTTAGGAAGAGTCTAAAAATAAAAGGTGCTGATTTCTGCTCTGTGTGAGTGATTGTTAATATAGAAGAAAATTTCCTAAAATAAACCCCTAGGAGCAGCCACAGCTGGGATTTTTCTGAATATCCCATGGCCTTAAATAAGCAGAATCAGATCTACACAAAAATCTTGTAGAAGTTTCATCTTTATATTTAAATCAGGCACCAGAAGCAGTTAAAACCATCCTACTACAAGGACCTTCCATTTTATCCAATTCCATGCAAAAGCCCAAAAGCTCAGCACACCTGCTCTCTTCTAGTAATTCGGTTTCATTCCCAGCCACTCCAGCATTATTACCCTCTATGTCTCCTGATGACCATTCACAAAATTAGCTTTTTCCTGATATTCTGTGTTGGCCTAAAAAGCCTGAAGTAAACCAAACTGAACCACGTTTCCTAAGAAAGACTCCTGACCTATTTGTCTCTCCTTGTATACTATTGTTACATGAGGGTTAGCAGGTATGTGTTTCCATGTGATACTCCCCCAAGACTGAGATCATCAGCCCTTCTGCTGAAATGAGAAAAATGTAGGATAAATCCAGAAACAACATAAGAAGACAGCTACTCCCTTAGCCTGCTCGTGCAGCTGACCTCTGCAGTGTGACACAGCCAGAAATGATTGGAGCAAGGCCCTTTCAACTAGAGTTGGGGCTGCACTTCAGTCCCCAGCAGGGCTGGGGGCTTGTTTCCCACTCAGTGCTGTCATGTGCCAAACCCATACAGGCAGTAACACATTAGATGGTGCCACATGCAACAGACAGTGTCATTGCTCTGCTAGTTTTGAGAATTCCCATGTTCTATTGAGCACAGCAAAGTGGTTTCCCTTGCCCTGTCCCTAACAATTACTCCCCAAGCAGGCTTTAGTTAATTCCATGGTAACTGAGCTGTTAGGACCTTTGGATGCAGGTGGCTTTTGTCTGCTGTCAACTTTAAATTGTTTTATTTGTACAGCTTTGTACACTCTAGATTGAATGCTTGAAGTATACCCTGTGGCTTTCTGAAATGTCTCCAAAATAGTTTAATGTTAACTGTCTCAGTGATATTATTTTCTTATCATTAATAAATGCAGCCCTGATAGTATTTAATTACAGATGCTTTGCCTCTGGTGTTTCAACTCTGGCATCCTTCTGTGACTTAATTTGTTCCCATTATGGTCCAAAATATCATTTTTATGTAGATATTACCCAGTTAATTTCTCTCCTTCATACAAGTTTGTCTAAAAGCAATTTCTATACTGCTGGCTTCCATGACTGAGGTCACTGAATAGGCTGAGAAAAAATTTTACTGGAAATTTCTCACATTCTGGCAACGTTTACTGATGCAGAATTCAAATTACTTACCCTAGAGATATCTGTACTAAGGCTAAATAATTTCTGAGTACAAAACTGGGAAGGAAGTAGAAAGACAAAGTAGCATCATATTATGATTCATTTTTCATGTGATATTTTAAATAAGTAATTTTTTAAGATAAGGCTTCTAGAAAATAAAAGCCTTTGTGGGCCACAGATAAGAATAATTTTCACTTTCACCACACACTGGTTGATATTAATCAGAGACAGATCCCAGTGATATCAAATGAAAGTCAAGGGGAAATTTGAGGTGAGAAATATTCTGTGAATATAGATTTGTCACACTTTCCAGATTTCCTAACAGCACATGTGCTAAGATTTCAGACTGTCTCTTTACTACCATATAACTGGAAGTGTTGGATGGCAGCTTCCAGACACCACTGACCAAGAATTAACTGATGCCAGCTTGACTGGTAAGGATAACACATAAGGAAAATAATTCATTACTATATTGGAAGCTTAGAAGACAAAAATTATTCAGAATATCTGAGTAAACAATCCATAGTATTTTACAGACTACTGCCCATAAAATACTTGCCTTTCAGATCACTGGTGGTCCCATGCAAGTTTCAAGTAATCAGCAGGTCATTTGAGACCTTGAGGGAATCCTGCTGATCTTTCTCTTGATTGAAAATACTGTCCCCCAAGAGTTATACTCCACAGAGCCATAGCTCACAGGAAACATCTTGCAGTAAGTGATTCTTCACAGACCCAAACCCCAGCTGATGGAAATCTCTACTTCCACACTTCATATTGTAAGGGGACACAGGATCTCAGGTTCTGTGTAAACTGGACACAGTATGTATTGTGGTTGGTCCTCCTCTATAGACTTGGGATGTGGGTAGGCCAAGTGTCTTGTGTAGCAACAAATCTAGGGGTAATGGAAACTAGTACAAGCTCATAATTTTTCTATGCAGTTAATATGTATAGGAATACAAATTTTAAGCATTTGTTTCAGGCATATGTAACTCTTGGCTGGCAGCCCACATCTTTTAAGATGTGTATATGACTCCCAAGGATAGTTTCATTTAAAGCATTCTTGGCAAATGTTTTAGAAAAAACAAAAAAAAAAATCTATTACTAGTTATGTGAAATATTTGAAGGGGCAAGGTCATGTCAAAGATGGTAATATATATCTTTAATGTATGTGGGCCTTACTGGCATCCAGTGGTGTTTTAAAAATACTCTTTTTTTCTATCTAGATAAGAACATTCTTTTGCATTATCCCACTGTGAAGAGATGCTGTGGCATAGCAGATAGAGGTTACAAGAGATTATCATCTAGCACATTATTAAGAATTCATTATCTGTCCACCAACAGCAGAACTGTGTGTCTATGTTTATAAATGGCTGTCAACCAGTTTTCCTTCATTGTTTTAAGGAATGAGTTTAAAGTTTCAGGAGGCTCCTCCTAGTCCCCCATCTGTACCTTTTAAGTTCATCATACAGTGCCATTTGTGGAATTCACTGACAAAATGAAAAATGGATTGTAGATTGCTTGTTTCAGTGGTCTAGTTTTAAATTTAAAAAAAATATTATTTGGAAGAAGCCTTGTAAGCTTAGTGACATTTTATTTCTTTAAAGTGAGATTTACAAAGACAGGCTGCTGCTCTTGGTCGTCTTTTTATTGACACTGTATTTTAGAAGGTACTTTATTATAACATTCCTTGTGATATAATTATTGTTGGCTGTGTTATATTTTGCCTACAGAATATGCTAATGTTCTGTGCTAAGTCTTAGTAGTAATAGCTGGTCTTTTTACCAATTGAAAACATGGTGACAAAGGTTATTTTTATACACATCATACTTTAGCTACATCAGTGGTAACAGCACTAAGCCAACCACATTTATATCAATAATATATGCTTGTTTAATTGCAAAACATGACTCAGTTCCAGTTAAAAAAAAATAGTAAGCATTAAAATATAATCTTATTTTTACACATGCATAGGAACTCAAAACATCTAGAATCCAAAGTGCTTTTTTTCAACACAAAATTTTAAGCATAAATCAATGCAGTTCTCCTCTTCTTTCTGTCAGACTCAGATAAGAGCCTGGGGTGACCTGGATAAGGACTGAGGTGGCTTATTATAACCTAGGGGACTTTCTGACTGGGAGTGCAGTAAGCAGAGATTTGTCCTGGCTCAGTGTAACAGCAGACCTTTTGCTTTGCACACACTGCAAAACTTCTATTCAAAACGAAATGTGATATGGTTCATGTTTCACTTAAAAGAGGCTTGGGGGAAAAAAATATCCATTGAAAAGCAGAGAGAAGAAGGATTCAGTAAAAAGGACTACAGAGAGCCACATAAATGTAGAGAGAGGTAAAAGGAAAAAAAAAATCTGTGAAAAAAAGTATACTGGGTATAGTCATAAAACCATAGTTGTAATTTTGCCACTGGTTTCAGCAAGTGCTGATTTCCCACATTATGCAAATACCCCTATTAAAGCAATATCAAAGTAAAGCAAGGAAATAAGACACCCCTACCTCCATCTCCCTGTACAATATTAAACTATATAATCACATACACTCACCTGTAGAAAAATGTATTAATTAAGCAGGGAACTACTTCAGGTGTGTTTTCCTGAAGTAAGTGTATTTATTTATTGTTAAGTGTATTGTTTATTATTAAGGAAAAAAAAAAAGGAGTTTGGATAGAATAGCATAGTTGGTAAGATCTTACTAGTGTGTGCAATCTAAAAAACATTTTGTGGATTTTATCTTCATTTATAGTTTACAGCATTTGGAACATAATTTCTGCTGTGTCTTCTCTCTGTCTTCCTTCTTATATCATTAGACTTTAGTGAATAAACATAAATTGCCACAATTTTTTAGTTAGTTCAAACATTTAGCATTTATTCACACCTTGTACAAACTGGAATTGTACAAGCCAGAAGTCAGCAAAGTAGAGACCAATGGAAAATAAGCCAGTTTAGACTAGCTGTAAAAATGTCCTTTTATTTAAAATCAGTTTTATTAAGGTTGCTTAATTTTATAATACAAATGCATTTTCTGTCATGGTTGTAAAACAATAATGTGCTTTCTTTTCCTGTAAACTGTAGGTCAGGTTATTGTACTTTCAAGAAAGTATCTAGTTACACTTACGACTTCCAGCTTTTCAGTGAATCACTGACTACAGTGACTGCCTGTTTATTCTCAGTTACAGAATGCTACACTGACCTGAGAAGTGAAATTCAGTAATCTTGGAAATCTGCCTTGCATAAATCACAGGCACCTGATTCACTTTTTCCATTTTGCACTGTTCTTTTCTTTTGAAGGTTCCTTAAACTCCTTTGTGGAGACCTATGAAAATGGAGCTAAGTCAGTTCTTACCAGGAGCAAGTTCGTATTATGAAGAAGAAAAAGGCCAAGTTCAAATAAGTGTGAAGCTGAAAGCTACTAGTAATTAAAATGCAGTGTCATAATTGTTGCTGTACTGTTACTCTTGGATTAGTGTCTGTATGTTC